CCTCAAATGTAGCATAAAGCTAACCGGGTTCATGGATAAGGTTAACGGGTGCTAGTAATCCAATAGGCAACAACCCTAAGCCGCCGCCGCCGCCACAACTACTGCCGCCGCCTCGGTCCCCCTCCTCTTTCCCGTCCGACGGCCTCGTCGGCGGCAAGAGGAGTGGGGACCCGTCCGTCTTGTTTTATTTTTCTTAGGTTTTTGTTTCTCCGGTGGCATCGACGAGGTGGTGGCGACGATGGCGTGTTGGAATAAAGTCTCTCCGGTCTCTCCCTACCTCGACGACGTCCGATCCGGCGCCGGCGAAGGGCCTGTGAGAGTTTGTGTCCCCAGATCGGTTGGTTCCCTTCAGATCTTGGCAGTTGGTGTGTCTTTCAAGGAGTACTTTTGGCTGGCGTTTGGTGTGGCGACCACGACATCTTCTTCTGTGTTGTTCTGTGGCTTAACCCGGTTTCTCCAACCCTCTGATCTGGTGGTGGTGGATTGCAAGCTTGTTCTGCTTGGGGTGATGCTCCAGCCGATGCTGCTTCAACGACTTTTAGATCTCGTCTCAAGGGGCGAGTGGCTATTGCGGTCTTCAAAGCCTTGTGTGGCGAGGGCATTTGCAGGTTTTGCTTTTCTTTGTTGTTGGTTCAGTGCAATTTTCATTCACCGGCGGGCAGCGTACAATCAGAGGAAGAAAAAGACTAGTATGCTTTTTATTGTAATTTTATTTTTTACTGGTCGTTCTACGTCCAGTTGTCTATCCTTTGTACTGGCCTTTGTTTTCCTCGATGTTAATCAGATTTAAGATGTCCTTTGGGTGTCTTTATTCAAAAAAAAAATAGGCAACAACTAATTCAGTTTTTTTAATTAAATAATCCGGCAAGCTAGTGGCGCTGGTTTAACTACCTCCTCAATTCTTGGCGACCATACATTGAAAAACTTGGTGACCATTCTTGTTAGGTGGAGGGCAGTTTGGTAGTCATAGTAGATACTTTTTTGGGGGGCGGTCGGAGCAGATAACTACTAGTTTTAGTTTAAAAAGGCAATATGAGAACGTTATATCTTTTCTAGATTTTGTACACTCATGTGTACTTGTAGTATGAAGTATTAACATGTAATTATTGAAGTATGAAGTATGGAGTATGGAGTATTGACATATTTTACATGAAATATCTTAGCATATGAAGTATTACCCCTACAAAGGTAGTATTATGTAGGAGTATGTGGTATACTTCTTTTTTGTAGTATCTAGGGAAGTGTACATACTTCTCTCAGTTGTAGTATGGAGTATATTTCTAAAATTTAGTATGGAGTATGTGTGTGCGTGTGTTTTGAAATAGGAGTATATAATTTTTTACTTCTGAAAATTCATATTCACTTTTCTTTGAACCAAACTATTGAGTAGTATATTCATCCAAACAAGAGTATATGCAGAAAGTAGGGCGGAGAATATGAAGAAAGAACGTAGTATGGAATATATTTCTTGTTAATAAAGTATGTAGTATATACATAGATCGCATTGATGGGCACAACAATACAAATAGGTCATAACTGATGACTCATGTACTCCTACAATGAATGACCGTATATACACCACTGCCTAGTATCCTTTCAGTTTGCTTTTGGCCAAATCCAAATTGATCTAGACAGAGGTGTAGTCTAATCATAATGCATGGCCGCTCATGCAAGGACAACTTATATATACGCGGACGCCGATGCGGCGGTGTGGCCTCAGAGTGAAAGCGGCGCGGACGTCATCGCCGGCAGCGGCGCGTGTTGGTGCGATGTTCTCAATACACGGACATGGTTGCCGCCGCCGGCGCGGCCTCGGTGATCCCATCAAAAATTTAACGACGACCACCAACTCCAAAACGCCAAGGAAGTTCTCGACTAGTTCGATCTTCAACGACTAATGTTCAAACTGCAGATTGATGGATTAAAGATTAGTATATGTGCACGTATTAGAAGCAATATGCATGGATTTGCATGAAGAAATGAAGAACAGATGAACATGCGTATCTTGTTTCCCTTTGGTGACCCCGTATCATACGTGAGGCCATAGTATATCCCTGAATGAACGTGATGCCACCAGCGAGCGGCAAAACATACGGTGAGATAGTTATATAGTAACAACACAAAATCCCCAAAAAATAGGAAACATCCGGTGGGTTTTAATCAGGCTGACTAAACCCATTTATATGGGAAACTACAACCCGCTAACAAGTGCACGTATCTAGATGAGATGGACGGCAATGAGGATACACGTGTGTGTGTGTGAAAGTATGATTTTTGAGTTTTAAATAATCTCAAGATCAAAGGAGCCTGAGCTCCAAACGTGCATATTCGCTCCCTTAGATATTTTTGTATCTACCATCATCCCGACGTGGTCGCCGTGGCCCCGACACCGTGCCGGCGAAGTAGGACGCGCGCCGCACGTCGTGCTCGTCCTGGTGCCACGTGTCCCAGAGCACGGAGTCAGAGGCGTACCTTTCGTCGTAGTAGAGGTCGTCGGGGAGGAGGCGGTGGTGGCGCTCGATCTCATAGCGCCGCGCACTGCCGCTCATCGGCACCGATGGGATCGGGATCCGGTCCACGGAGAGGTGCCAATTGTTGGGGAGATTCACATCGCTCCACGGGACCGGCGTCTTCGTCTCCCAGTACCACCAGCACACGGCCACGGCCACGTACCGCTGGTCGCGCTCACCGGCGGCCCTAGGGACGATGGTGAAGGGGGCAGGCGCGGGGGCTCGAATTCGGGCGCGCGACGGTGATGCGGGCTCCTCCTTCTTCACGGAGCCGCGGCCGCGTCCCGAGGAGGAGCCGGCCTTGCGGTCATGCTTCCCCTTGAGGCCGTAGTTCCATAGCCCCATGGCTGCGGCCGGCCGACGAGTTCGAGGACAGGTAGCGGCTAGGGTTTGGGGAGTGTCGGGTTTCGAGGGGGCGGAGAGGGGCCGGAGTGAGAAATGTGGACGACGACCGGTCCACGGCTTCCCATTTAAAGAAGGACGGCGACCGTTCGCTGGGCGGATGACAGGTGGGGTCACCCGCACGTGCGCATTAATGTTGGCGGCTGGGAGGTAGGAGGACGCGTACCACGCGGTTCCGACGCGGACGAGGCGCGCGTCCATTCGCTGTCCGCCGCGACCCAAACCTGACGCAAGTTTGCGCTTGAAATGGGTCGGCCCGGACTTGTCCGGGCCGTCGCGCGCTGGGCCACCCCATTTGTCCCTTTTACCTCAAACGGATGGGGCCGGACGGGATGGAGTCGCGCGGTGGCGTTGGCCTTAGTTAACATACATGGACGGCACCAGGACGAGCACGATGTGCGGCGCGCGTCCTACTTCGCCGGCACGGTGTCGGGGCCACGGCGACCACGTC